ACAGAACACTGGCAATTTAATGTACTTTAGGGCCATGCCTTTACTGCCTTACTTGTAAAAAAACAATATATTTGTTATCATCTTTATTCATCAAAAGCAAACAATCAGATTCAAATTCGAGTTCTTGGGAATCTGACTCTAGAAATTCAGAGTTCACTGTCCAAAACCTGTTGTACAAGCTGATACAGAAAGAAGAGTGCTTGCTTGATTTAGCAAACCAGAGTCTGAAAGGGAGTATCATCACTGCCTGTAAAATAATTCCAGGGAATGTAAGTGCCAGGGAGGGAAAATAACTTCAATTAAAAGGAACACACACAAATGAAAAAAAAATTAATCTAAATTGCCCAATGGCAACATTAGAACAGAAATCAGAGTAGTTTCCAACAGTCAGAAAAAAGGCTTGGAACAGCTACCCAAAAAGGAAGAAGGAAATAGAAGGGTGAAGAATGGAAGGATGTACATGTACATGTACATGTTTGATCAGTCATGGCTGTTTGTACATGTTTTAGTTTGATCAGTCATAGCTGTTGGATGCAGTACTATGTGCCATTCTTGAAATTCCTCATTTCTACAAAGTAGGTCTGAACACTTCAGCTGAAAATCCAACAAGAGTTTCTTCACAATTGGTGCACTATTATTCTGCCTTACCTGTGCCCACTTTGTCCTGTCAGTAACATTAAGTAACATCTTGCAAGCAATACCTAATGCAGAGTTTCATCTTGCCTAAAAGCTCTCCCATATGAGACCTAACTCTTCCCCTGTTGTAATCACCTGACAAGAGCAATGATGACCTTGCAGGCTTCATCCTGCCCTGGACCCTTCAGCTGTATCAATTTCTGCTGTGGATGGAATATAAAACCTGTCTGGCCATGGTTGTTTTGAGACCCCTCTGTGTCTCCATCAGTCTGACGAGGATCTGCTGCTGTAGAGGACCTCTGAGAAGCTCAGCTTTGTCTTTCCCACCATGTAAATCACAGAAGCTTGAACCAGCTGTTTAAAGGTATCGTGCTCACGTAAAAACCAATCCCCAGGTACAAGGCCAAGTACATGCTCAAATTCTCTGCCACACAATTTGAGATCTACACCAACATCCAGCCCAGGAAAGCACTTTGTCCAGTGCAAGGCAACAGCAAACTGCTATGATAATAACCGACACTGTGAAACCCATGTTGCTTTCTTTCACAGCACCTCATTATAGCACCAGCTCTAGCACCAAGGCACTCACTCAATCTCCTTTACCTTTCAACCTCCTGCAATTTTTTTTTTTCTTTCTCCAGAATACTTTCAAATTAAAAAATAAGGCACTGATCTTGCTCCAAGCCAGCTTAGGACAGAAGCAATCTTCATTTTTTGTAAGCCCTGCAAAGCATCTCTATCCCAAAAGCTCATTATGGACATCACCTAGAGTCTTGCTTCTCTCCATTAAAGCCAGGTCTCTCTTTTAGCTCCACACATAAATCTCTGCTAGCTCTTTTTCCCTAGTCTATAGCATGGCATTAAGGGAGCTATAGAGACTCCAAACCTAGTGTCAGGACACACTGCATCAGCAACACACTTGGGATCTCCATGAGCTAGGGAACCTGCCAACTTCCACGCCACTGATGACATTTCTCAGTGGTGCAATGAGGCAGGAGATGTCACTTGTGTATCTTGCAGCAGAGATTTGAGAAAGATTTCAGGTCATATGAACTTTTACTCCAGTTTTATAGGGGCCAGTGGAAAGATGCTCAGGATGCATCAATGCAGGTAAGTGCTGCCAGGACCCATTTACAGACTCAATAGTCTAGGCTCTTATTATATTGTCAGAATGATTTCAGGCAAGGTGCTGGCTTGGGCCAGTTAGCACCTCCTTGGATCATCCCAGCCAGTCCAGCACTCAATGCAACCAGGGACCCTTTTCACCCACTTTTGCTGCAGCCGCTCTTCTTTGTCTTGCAGACTGAAAGAGCTCAGGATTGTGGAGATGCAGGACAGCTTTGTGTGGCCTCACTCACCTGAACTGGAGTCAGAAAAAGCCTGAGGCCCACCTGTATTTTAACATAACACTGGATACGCTCCTGATTTCATCCACATCAATCATTTGAGAAGCCAGTCTTGCTACACCTATGCTCTCCTCTGGGCAACTCCTGCTGACTCCATCAGTGAAACAAGGTACAGAGGAGAGATTAGAGAATATGTGAAATGTGTCACTAAAGATGAGCAGAGCATGCTCCAAGTGTCTGGATGTAAATGTGGATCTGGAGAGCAAGCTGTCCAGGGAATACCTAAAATCACTGATGAGCCAAAATAAGCACTGATCTAAAAAAATTTATGTTGATGGAGTTAGACTTGGACAACTTGTACTATTATTTCTTATTCTTACTGTACTTGTGGCTTAGCATACAGCAAATTCAGAGCAAAATGCCATCAGTTCAGTGGTGCACACACTTAATATAAAATCACAGCCTAGCCTGAGAGAAGCTGCAAATGCCCAGAAGAATCCCATACAGAATTCAGGAGTCCTTTCTCTTCCACAGCAGTATTGCAATTATATCCACACCACTACCAAAATAAGGATACAAGAAACCACAGTGAGGCCGACAGGATAATGTACACTGCAATACAAAAAACTTGATGATGACAATGCTTTAATTTTCCAGTTTTTCCACTTAACAGGATTTCAAATATTTTGAGCTTTATTTTTGTTTTTCCTGTCCTCACACAGATACTGCAAACTATGATCTTCACACTGTCCCTCTGCCTGGGCAAAGGCAAAAGTTGTTTGACAGCAGCACTTCCAGAGCACACAAGAATGAAAACGAGCAGAGGTGTGTTGCATCCCTGTGCCACAGCATGGAAACTCCAGCAGGAAGCCAGCAGCTGCAGCTGTTGGAGTGCAGGGCACTGGGGTTACACAGCATCCTCACAAGCAGCACACTGGGATCCTCTGCAACTTCCATGCAGGCAAAACTACATATTCTGTACCCTAAAGGAAGCATTTCACCCCAAGCCCATCCCACCCCCAGCTCCAGCACTGATGGGAACCCAGAACCTCCACACAGTGACAATGGGTCGGTGCCACTTTGGGCTCCCTCTGAACACACCATTGCTTCAGCTGAGCCTGGACAAGCCTGTTGTGCATCCAAGTCCTGCTGGGACCCAGCTTCACTCTGTGTTGAGAGGGGGCTGCAAGCAGAACACAGAACAGAACAGCACTGCCAGAGCCCCCACAGTGAAGGGGGAGCATAATATCCCTGTACACGATGCAACCTGCAGCTCTTTGGGAAGGACAGTCACAAAATGTTTCCCCCTGAAAAATTTGTACACCAACACACGCAGAAAGTAAATCAGTCCCTGACAACAGCAGTCCACACTACTACCACAGTGGGCAGAAACACATAAACAAATATATGTGTACCTAAACACATAGGTAACAATAGATGTGTCTTGAAAAATGTTCAGGTGAAACATAATGTCAGTGATAGAGCAGAGAAACTGCTGCCTGCTGGATGGCTTTTTATATCAGAATCTTTTTTCTTTAGCAAATGGGTCACTTGAAACCAGTGTCAGTCTCAATTCAATTTGTATGAACAGACCTGAGTTCCTACAAGGCAGCTTCTGTTCACACAACTATTTAAGAATAGTCTAGCTGAGTTGTGAAGAAAGGGGAAAGTCCTTCAAAATGGGAATGACAACTATTCCCTTGTCAATTAATTGATTAAAAACTTCCTGATGAGACCATAAAACCATGTCCCAATTAACTAGGGCTGAACCCCACAGTGAAGTCCTTACGACATCCGCTGCAATTTAAATTGAGTAGCTCAGTACAATCTATACCAAAAGGAATTCATAATGACTAGACTATAATTTCAAAATGTTATCAGTCTCCTAGTACTGAAAGCTGAGAGGGAGGCCAAAGATTTCTGCCAAGCAGCCAGAAACCTCCTGGCATTACAGCTGCAGACACCTTAGAGGAGAGCCTGAGTCCCTGTTTCTCCTGGGAACTTGCATGGGGAACAGTCACGGAGTGGTGGCATCCCTTTCTCCCTCATTAGCATTCTGCTCGGTGTCTTGAAGAGGCAAAGTTGGAGAATCCCGACAGACAGATCCCTCCACTTCTGCTGGTCCACAAGCAGAGTTAAGGGCAGGCACAGAGCCCTCCAAGCAATTTACCCTTGCCTTCCCTGAGCCTCAGCCCTCAGCTCCAGGTACGACAGCAGCAGAGGCTGGAGGGATACAGTGCCCAAGTTAACCTGGTAACTTTGATGTCATGACTATGGCTCCAGCCTGGAAATCAGTTCCCTACTTCTCTGGCCAGTTTTGTTCTGCTTGGCTCAAGTCAGAGCTGTTCTGATGCTATTCCTGAGACACATGCAGGTTATGAGGAAGAAACAAAACTCTCCTGTTTAACACCTTGGTGGCAAGAGGCAAAAAGCAGCTTTATCCCCACACAGAGACACCTCGGAGGCAAAGTCCTGAAGCCCTCCAGCATCTCTGCATCAGCAGGGCCTGGGGATGAGCCCTTGGGCTGACGTGGGCCCCCACAGCTGGCAGGAGGAGAAGCAGCAGCAGAGGGGCTTTCCCTGGGCATCCTTCCAGCTGAGCCTGCCAGGCTGCCCGTGAGGGTTATCCTGGGGAGAAGGCTGGATGCATCCAGGAGCATCCCCCTAAGGAGACCCTTCCTGTCCGCCGCGGGCGGGGGCAGCGCTGGATCCCGCTCTGCTCCGGGCCGGGGGACACGGGGGCCGGGAGGGGGATGCGCTCAGCGGGCGGGCGGGGAGCGGAAACTTTTTCTACTCCACAAGAATGGCTCTTTTGAAGCCCTTCTGCCCCACTGCACACTGCTAAGCGAAGCCAATCCCCGGCGCCCGGAGGCGCAAAATCCCCTTCGAAGAAGAAAAACCCAGCACCCCCCACCCCCGATTACACACACACGGGGGAGCGGGCGGGGAAGAAAAAGAAGGGGAGAGGGGGGGAAATAAGGGAAGCACGGAGGAGCCGCCCCCGCCCGCGGTACTCACGCTGCTGTTGTGGCCGGACCAGTGCACCATGGCCTGGTTGTGCGCCGAGTCTCCGGCCAGGGCGAAGGTGGTGCTGGCCAGCCGCAGCTCCTCCAGCCCGAAGCGGGCGGCGCCGCCGTCCCCCGGCTCCCGCCCCGCGGCGCCGCCCGGCCCCGGCCCCGGCCCCGCCGAGCCCCGCGGGCTGCGGCCCCAGCGCCGCCGCACCGAGCCCGGCCCGGGGCCGCCCGGCCTGGGGGGGCCCTGGAGCGGTCGGTCCTCGGCCGGAGCCGCCGCTGCCGCTCGGGGACGGCGCTCCCCGGCCACTTTCTCTGGCTCCCTCGGCACTCGCCGTGTCTCCCAGCCGCTGGATTGCATCCCCGCGGGAGCAGGGGCGAGGGTCGCCTGCAGCCCGGCATCCTCCGTGCCGGCCTCTTGCCCTCTCTCACCTCCCTTCTCCCCGAGGAACCTCCTTTGCTCCTTTTCTCCTCTGTCGGTCCTCAAGTGCATCAGTAATCCCTGCTGCGGCTGCTGCTGCGGCTGCACCTGGGAACGGCAGGATCTGCAAGTTATTTCTGCGCCGGTAAAGCCATAAGTGAAGAGAAAAAGCCATGTCCAGTACAGGAGAGCAACGTGCCAGGCTGGGTACCAGCCAGCAACTTTTTCCATCGCTGCCGACTGCTGATGAGTGCGAGGGTGAAAGAGCAAGAAGGAGAGCGCAGGAGCGAGGGAGCCGGGCGCTGCCGATTCAGCCGCCGCGGGGTAAACACGGCGAGAACTCCACGTAAAGTTTCAGACTCTTCTGTGCTAGATGTAGCCGAGGGGTAGAGGAGATTACTTTCTTCCCACCTCTTTCTTCCCCCTCTTGTATCCTTTATCTTCTTTTGCACTTTTTCCTTTCGTGTCTTTTTCCCCTCTCTTCTTTCCTTTTCTTTTTCTTTTTTTTTTTTTTTTTTTTTCCCAAGACTGGTGTTGCTGATGAGGCTTGTGATGGAAGGCAAAGCCACAACCACACGGGGGAGGAGCTGATTTGAAATCAGAGAGAGAGGGAGAGTGAGAGGAGCGAATCCTGGCTGGTGATTTCTCCCGGCTGCCTCTGTGGAAGTCTCAGCTCGCTCCTCTCCCGCTCGCTCTCTCTGCGCTCCCTCTCACTTCGCCGCTTGTGCATCACACTCCTCCCGCAGCCAGGCCGCCCCGTGTGCCGTCAGTGGCTGGTTGCTCACTCCCCCTCTCTCGCACACACTCCGACGACGGACTTACCCCAACTTTCAAACTCGTATCATCCGATCCCTTCCTCCCCTGTGCTTCCCGTCAGCTCCAGCCCCTAAAGCCTGCTCCGCAGCATGCTGAAACCTCCGCACAGCGACTGGAAGCAGATGTGCAAAGTGAAGGAACAGTACATGCGTGTGTGTACAGTCTTCCCAGAGGAAATGTTTTAATTCGAATAATTAAGTGTCCTTAAAGGTCTGAGCAGGCTCTGAAATAACCCTTTCTTTCTCCCTCCTCCCGTGATTGGTGTAAGTGCCCTGGAGTTGCTCAGAATAGGCAGGCACCTGTGCTTGCTTTTACAGAGGGAAAGTCGCATTTCTGCCCTCTGTTCCCTCCCCCGCCTGTGCTTCACTGTACTGTCGTGCACAGTAGCTGCCGATGCTTAAATAAATCACTCATGCACGGCAGAGATGTACCCACATAAATGCTGATGGAGACAGGGACAAGCTTTTGGAAATGAAATGACAGCACTTGGTGGAGAGGGAGATTCCCCTCCAGTGGTTTATCAGCAGAAAATAAAAAAACAAACAACCCTGGTGGCTTTAGCTGTCTCTCAGGCTTTTAGGACCAGCAATTTCCCCCGCAGGAGCTGTGCTCCTCTCTCATAGATGTCCTCCCCGCAGGGGGAGCAGTGACAGCGGTGGCCGGAGGAGATCACCAGGGGCTGCCTGCAGAGCCTGGTGCCTGCTGGCTACGGGAGCTGCTGGTCCTGACCACAGACAGCACTGCTGGTTGCTGCCTGCAGAGCAGGACAGGGCTCTGGGCTGTGACAGGCACTTCCCAGTGCCCACAGCCATGAAAACTGGAGGGAATTGAAAGCTGTTCCACTGGAGTTTTATTCCATCCCCGTCTGCCTGCTCCCACTCATTCCCATTTGATTTACGCGCGAGTTTATTTTTTAATTAATATTTTTAACATTTCCTTCCTGACACAGAAGACCTTATTGATTTTCTTTTCTTTTTTTTTTTTTTTGGCAGGGCATTTCAGAAAACGATTTACAGATTTGTTCCACATTCTTCTAGAGATTTCACTCAAATGCTCACTAGTGACACGTCTTGGGATATTAGCACAAGACCAGAGGTGAAGGGAGACTCGCAGTAATTCAGGCTGGGCATAACTTCATGCTGCTTACAACAATGATGGATTGTCTGCAGTGTAACCACCTGACCTCAGCTAAATCTTGCAATTAACTGCATACCTGTTTCCACATCTCCCAGCTAAATGGTTACTATTAGTTACAGCCTGTCGGGTAATAACAATAATTAACACTCACGCTTAAACAGCTCCTTTCCTTTACTAAGCCCCAAACTCCTCACAAAGGCCACTTTTGGAGGAAACTGAGTCAAAGCATGATCAGCACAGTAGTAATGATTGGAGGTGGAGCTACAACAATTGTTGTCAGCCCAATCCTTTATCTTCTGTTCAACAGATTAAGCAGGTGGATCTATCCCAGAGGATCAACTAAAAAGTGTCACCTTCCCAGCACAAGTCTCTTAAGGAGGCTTTAATCTAAAGGAATGAAATTCAGGGATGAGTAGGTGAGACAGAAAAAGAACTTGGAAGAAGGAAATTACTAAGAGGTCAGAGGAAATTTCTCTTGGGATTGTTATAGAGGTTTGCATGTCAATGAGTGGCTAAGGCTAGGGAGAGAAACAATATAGCTGTCTCATTTAGGCAGGTGATTATCTCTGCATTGTGATGAGTGGCCATCGAGTGATAGGGAAGGAGCACACCTTCTGCACTGTGAACACACTACACCGCAGAGCTCTTCAGCAAATGCACAACAATCAGTCATGGAGAGAAAATACTGGATCCATCCTAAGGACCACAGACAGGTTTTCCAGCATAGACCTTGTTGTGGGTGGACACAGGACAGACACCTAAAATATGAGCCTTCCCCTGAGCCCTGTTTTCAGGAATTATCAGTTTGGGAGATTCTAACAACAGCAGAAACTGCACTTGATCCCTTACTTTTAATAGGTAATAATGTAGTGGGACTTTTAATGGACCTGTCTTCCCAAAATTTGTCTAATCTGTATTTATACTCTTGGTGTCTGAGGCAAGCTGTGATAGTCAATCTTACAATCTGATTATGTGTACTTTTGAATACTCGTGGTCTGCTCTTATCTGAGAGAGACATTTTAAATCGCTGTAATCTAATCTTGCTGCCAGCCATCTTTTGCCACAGATGATGTGATGATTGAGCCATCAGAGATAAGAAAGCGGAGTCTTTGGCACAAAAGAATAATCTGCTGTCCTTTGATGTAAGGGATAGCTTTCTCAGTTGGGAGCAGGCACCGAGCTCCTGTACTCAGGCAAAAAGAAGCTGGTGTGATGTGACTGAACTCCACGGCTGTGCCCAGAGAAAGGAAAAGCTGCTTTCATTGGTACCCAGACCCGAGGCCCCACCTGATCTGATATTTCAGTACCACACGTGCAGCTCCAGCATCTGGTGATATTTTCCATGAGAGCTGCTACACTACCTGGTCAGGAGACTGTTCTGTTTCACATGTCCAGTATTGCCTGAGGAGAGGGGATATGAGCAAGCCAGGGGAGCCATGGAACAGGAGGCAGGTATAAAACATGATACCATGAGAGCAAATTAAAATTGCAGGCTTTAGCTGGCCTCTTCAGCCTCTGCCTTTGCCAGGATGAGCAGTGGCTGTGGGTTTTCATCTGCACCTGGAGGAACTACCTCAAAGCCAGATATCTGCACATCTGGGGGAGTTTCTTGCTTCTGGGTTCAGGAAGAATAAACTGGTATCTAGGGAAGGGAGCAGATGCCATTTCTAGGTATATGTTGCAGTGGAAGCAAGCATTTTCCTGAGGATTTATATAGCCTTGAGAAGAGAAGCAGGAACAGCTTGAAACATGGATGAGTACACAAATCTTCACTTGGGACTGGGCAGGTTCTGAGACAGGTGGAAAGATGGGCTTGGTCAAGGACATAAATCCTTATGACAGTGATTGCAATAATCTGCCATCTGCAGGAATCCTTTCCCCTGGAGTGTTTCATACTCGCAATCAGAGACTACTTTTGTGAAAAATGTGCTCCTGAGAGACTTCCTGGCTCCACAGCATTCCTGTCTCCTGAAACATGCTAGACGATGCACCCTGTGTGATGGAAACACCTCAGGGACTATGCCAACACTGCCTGTACTGTGATGGAAGGAAGGGAGAAAAAGGAATGAAAGAGGGTACAGAGAAGGAAACAGAATTGGGTGGGCTTAACCAGCTGAGTTTCTAGTATAAAGCAGGGGGATAATATAGCCTGGCCTTTTGTGAATCTGAATGTCTTTTAGGCAAAGGAGTACAATCTTTCCCTAGTAAATATTTGTATGATCAGGATTTTTTTAATCTACACTCATTTTAAATAATGACTTTTCTCAGAGAAGACTGTGTAATGAAGGGAGACCAAGAAGAACACTGCTCCATTGATTCCTATCAAGCCATGGTGAGTGATGAATACTGTAGTTTGACATTACACATAATTCCCCCAAACAGAATCTCTGTTAAAAAACAAACAAACAAACAAATCAGGATACAACAGGTCTTGTTGCAGTTTCCCTTGGGGGGGAAAAAATACTTTCAGCTGTAAATATCACAAAAAGTTGAGTGTTTGTTTTGTTTTGTTTTCTAAATAGGGTTTGGATGCTTCATTCTTTAAATAAAATAGGGAGTAATTATATGTGTGTGTGTATATATATATATATATATATATATATATATATATATATATATATATATAAAACCAACTACTTCCTAGTGCTTCTTGTTTTACTGAACAAATGGAAATTATTTAGCCATATGGCTTATTTTGCAGCAATAGGTTTATAGCAATAGCAATTGTTACATAGGTGTTATTATAAATAAATCCTGTTACTTATACTGGGGCAATGCATTTGACAAAAAGTGACCAAAATATTTGAAAAAAATCTATAACTGAAAGAAAACCTCTATCTTCTTTCTGCTGAGTTTCATTTCCCTTCCTCAGGCTATTTTTGGAAAGGTGATTGAACTATTTATTTTTGACACTAATAATTCCTCTAAATTAATTAACATGAAATCTATCCTTTTTTATTCCACACAATCAAAAGCCAAACCAGTGCTGTCCTAAAATTAGGCTGGTGCAGCCTTTAACAAGGGCTCCTATTCATCTGCAAATGTGTTGCAATTTTGCTTTAGTTGCCATAAATATTAACAGCAAGGGCTTTTTGTTCTTGTACTCCCTCTTGCTGCAGCCTGTTGCAAAGACTGAGGTTTAAAGTTATCTCAAGAAAAGTGCAAGAATTTGATATTTTATAACTTCGAGCCATTTTGCTTTGCTAAATCCTCAGATGGGGAGTTCATACATTCATGTATCTGGCAATGAGGTTGGGGGCTGAGCAGATTCAGTCAGTGGGATTGCCTCCAAGTACAGGAAGGTGCTCAGCACCAATACCTGGTTGCAGTTTTCCTCAAATCCTGTTTATGTTGAAATATCTAGTCATGCTTATTAGCCAGCAGGTCCCTCTGAGGACAGTAGGACTTGTCTGTATTTTCTCCTCTGGAAGTTCTGTTGTGTAATTCCTCTGTTTCGCTTCCATTTCTGGATCCCGAGTGTTTTTACACCATCCAACCAACCACAAATGGGACAGCAAACCGCGCGCTCATGGTGCAGGGTCTGTTTTTACTCTCTGGGTTCAGACCTCCTT